CTTAATAACAGGTTTTCAAAGTTCTCATTCATTTATGGAAACTATTTTTTAGTAGTAAATATATATATAAATTATGCATATGTAATTGTACAATGGATTTTTTGGTTTCCCTTTTTTCAACATCCATGCCAATTATGCACGTAACAAAATGTCAAAATGCCACGCCCACTCCACCTTCACATTTGCGTGCCCAGTTCCCTGCTCCCCCTCTTGTACCATATCATATTGACAGCCCCTCATCATAACAATCATATACTTACTGTGTGACGACTTTCACGTTGGGTCTCAATCTCTTCCACTTCCATTCTTAGCACTTCCTCGTCCAGCAAGTTATTCATCATTCCACCCTGGCTACCATTTCCTCCGACAGGACGCCTCTGTCTTGAAGACTCATTTTTATTCAGTGATCCCAAATGAAGCTGCTTCACGAGATCCAGAAAAATAGGCTCCCGGTTATCAGCGTCAAATTTGACCCACCTCATGAGGGCACTATTGACACTGTCTGGATTTGTGTTCATGAAATCTCCCTTATTGATGTAACTGATTAGCATTTCCACATTGAGTTGTAAAAATTCTGTAGTTTTACTGACCGATCCAAAGTTCTCGTAGCAGTATCCCTCCACGGGATTGACATTATCGTAGTTTTCGTGATTCTGCAGAGCGTTATTAATGATTTGCATCAAACTGAGGCAGTTTTCGGGTGTCAACTGTTGATGGAGGAACTCGTAACAGTACGACTCAAGCGACGGAATTTTCCATGAACTTGCGAATTTCAGAAGATGTATGACTATGTCCATATTAAATGTGATCGATCCCGTATATAGAAAATCCAAAACGAGTCCCACAATGCTTGCTGATGTTCCATGAAGCTTGACACGAGATAAACAGACACATGTCTTCTCTAGTGAGAATATCTGGTAAAAGTTGGCACTAAAAGCCGCTAATACTACTTTATGTGCAGGAAATTCAATCCCTTCAGCTGTGAGTTTGAGATCACACATTTCGGCTTTCTGGCGCATCTTGTCCATTGCACGGAGACAATCCAACGCCAAGTGTGATGCCATTGTTGTTAATATCAGTTCTTGATTAACATACAAATTAAAGTGGATGGGTGAGATAAATTAGACTGTGTTGTACAGAGGTTCGCATGCACATTATATTGCTACGTGATGTGTATTGTTTCCAGTACGTCCTCCATGTTGTATTGTTAAATACGTTTCTTTTTATAAAGTTATTTTTTGCACATAATTGGTAGTGTAAGTTTGCTGCACGTCCATTCTACTGGACATTACACAGTTGATACTCAGTTCAAATCATCTACTAAAAATGAATACATATTGTTTCCACTTCCTTCTTCAATACAAAGAACATTTCTCTTATAACACATGGACCAATAAATCTGAAAAAAAAAATAATGTTAGAAAATGTATTGTAAAAATAAAATACTTCAACATGCATTGTATAGAAAATAGAGAAAAATGCTTCCACACACAATTTCCTTCACCTGTATATACTGGATTAGATGCATTCCAACAGATTCTAAGTAACAATGAAGTCATTGAGCGGCCTCTGGGTTAAATATTAACACGTAAAGAAAAATATTTATTAAGAACTTGCTAAAAATCAAACATTAAAAATGCAAACAAAACTTTGGGGCTTCAGAACCTGTGTGTACATGCAATCCTTTCAAATGTATAGATTTAACATTTCTTGTTTTGTAATTGAAATTACCCAATGGCACCTGATGGGGCTACCAATTTGTAATTACCCAATGACACCTGATGGAGCTACCAATTTGTAATTATCCAATGGCACCTGATGAGGCTACCAATTTGTAATTACCTAATGGCACCTGATGGGACTACTAATTTGTAATTACCCAATGGCACCTGATGGGGCTACCAATTTGTAATTACCCAATGGCACCTGATGGGGCTACCAATTTGTAATTACCCAATGGCACCTGATGGGACTACTAATTTGTAATTACCCAATGGCACCTGATGGGACTACTAATTTGTAATTACCCAATGGCACCTGATGTGGCTACCAATTTGTTATTACCCAATGGCACCTGATGGGGCTACCAATTTGTAATTACCCATGGCACCTGATGGGACTACCAATTTGTAATTACCTAATGGCACCTGATGGGACTACCAATTTGTAATTACCCAATGGCACCTGATGGGGCTACCAATTTGTAATTACCCAATGGACACCTGATGGGGCTACCAATTTGTAATTACCCAATGGCACCTGATGGGGCTACCAATTTGTAATTACCCAATGGCACCTGATGGGGCTACCAATTTGTAATTACCTAATGGCACCTGATGGGACTACTAATTTGTAATTACCCAATGGCACCTGATGGGGCTACCAATTTGTAATTACCCAATGGCAC